CAAGGTCACAAGGAGCAAATATGTTCAAAATATTTAAACAACTTATTCTGAATAACCAAAAGGCTCAGGATGTTGATATTTAGTCAGTAGCATGCTGGGATCAAGGACTGCTATGTTTGTTAAAGTGAATGACTTTGACTTATATTCAAGGTCATAAGGGGTCAAATTTGTTTAAAATCTTTAAATGACCTCTTCTGAATAACCATGGGTCCCAGGATGTTGATACTTTGCAAGTTGCATCCTGAGATGAAAGGCTATAAAATGTGTTCAACATAATGACTCTGTTCGACTTTCAATCACAGGGGTGATGATTTAAAAAAGATTAACAGGTTCTTTTGAATGAATTTTAATCATAAATACTGATATTTTGCCTGTAGCTTTATTTTAGATCACTTTTAAGGTTACAAGTGTGAGATTTATACCAGGTGAGCGATGCAGGCCCATTGGGCCTCTTGTTTATGACTGGTATGTAAATGTCCCTTACCTGGTATTACATATATTCAGAATTTCTATCAAAGCTATAGAATACATTGTTATTTATTTATTCTGAACAGCATATTTATAATTGATAAAAACTCAATGAAAGGCTAGTGTTGTTGATGTACAATGTACAAACTCAGGTGTCTGATGCATACAATCTTTTATTTAAGTCATTAAATAGTTCATACTGTCAATGATGTTGAAATTGTTATGTCCTTTTTATGCAGGTGTCACCGTTTTGTTGGAATCATCAATATTTAAGATTTAACTGTGGTTTAAAAAAATACAAGAACTTTTTCATTACAGGAGAAACATACACCTGGTGTCTTGATGATTTGAAGTTTTAAATTTGTTTTTGTTTTTCTTCAACAGACAACCTTTTTTTGGTAAACCCTCCACTTAGCAGGAGGGAGTATATAGTAATCAATGTGAGCGTCCATGAGTCTGAAGTAAAAAAACTTGTGTACAAGATATCACATGAAACCCTCAACAGATTTAGTTCAGGTGGATATTTACACCGTAGTATAATAACATAGTGTTCTACTCCTGATTAGGCCGCGATGGCCAAGTGGTTAAGGCGTCTGACATTCAGCTAACACAAGCCCTCCACCACTGGGTCGCGGGTTCGAGACCTACGTTGAGCAGTCGCCAGGCACTGGCTGTAGGTTGTGGTTTTTCTCCGGGAACTCCAGCTTTCCTCCACCACCAAAACCTGGCACGTCCTTAAATGACCATAGCTGTTGATAGGATGTAAAACACAAACAAACCAAACCAAAACCTGATTAGATTTTGGTTGTCATTGATCAAGGCTAAAGGGATCAAAGGTCAAAGGACCTGTTACAGGAACAAAAGAATTTTGCCGACAAAGCAATTTAACCATAACTCGATTATATTTGTAGCTCCCTTAGACACGACTCATGAGATATTTTTAAAAAATTGAAAAGGTCCCCGGGGCCTGTGCTATGAAATATTTAGTGCCGCCTTCCAAAGGTGTACGACAGGGTTCACCTTGTTGTCCAAAAATCTATCTAATCAATGCTTTATGCTATCAAATAATATTATATTGTTTAAAATAGGATCTGCTGCAAATTATGAACTCAAATATGTAACAAAACATTGCATAACAAAAAAGTTCTACAATCTTAAACTCTAAAAATGTTGGTATTTTCATACACTTTTTTGCTATATCAAATTTTTACAGAAGTAACACACCAATTTCCGGTTCTTGTACAGCAAAAATCTTCTAACATTATTTGGTGCATTATGTTGAGATACAATGGTGAAAATTTGAAAACCGGTAAATGTTTCATATAAATATCAAATTGTAGCAACGTCTATTTCCAAATAAAATCCAATAACTTAATGATCTATAGTCATGTTTAATCATTTAACAATACGCTGCACCAATTTATTACTACAACTGATAAAATTGCCATCAGTAGTCTGCTCCTCATGATGAGCTCAACTATAAAGCTATGTAGTCTCACACAGATAAAAGTTTAGTATGTTATGTACATTTTTAGTTGTGTCGCATCTTTACGGAAGTGATAGACACACTTTGGGGTGTTGTACACCAACATACTTTGGATATTATTTGGCACATTATGTTGACTGACGATAGAAGAAATTTCGAAAAAAATGGTATTCGGTAAATGTGTCATCTAAAGGTCAATTTGTTGTATGACCAATGTCAAAATAAATCTTCAATAACTATAGGTCAATGCAAGTACTTCATAATTAACCCAAAATCATTCCAATATACTATCACGGTGGATAATATGGTTAATAGTGGAGTCTGGTGCAGTTGTTGAACTAAACTATGTAACATAATGGACTACAAATGGAATCTT